TTTTTTTTTTTTTTTTTTTTTGAAACCCCGCTTGCAAAACCTTTATCCCAGTGGTGGTAAGAGAACCGCCAAGATTGAGGCTTTGGGTGTTGGGTTGCTCCATCTATTGGTGGGGAGCGACACCTGCTGAAAACCGGGTACAACGTCCCTTAGAACAACAATTGGATACAATGTCAGGGTTGTGGCCATCAACACTTCTACTATAGAGCACCCTCTATCCTATGGAGCTGCTAGTCAACCCTTCAATTCCGGGTCTCCTAATCATCTGGCCCAACCTACACCTAGAAGTTGTTTGTTGTTCTTTCCTGTTCCCAGGACTCCCTGCAATCCAGTAACCCCATTAACCTCAGACTTCCTCCAAGTGTCCGCAGCCCCCCCTGTGTGTTTTGTCCGTTTCTCTTAAACCCTTCTTAAATTCTCTACACTCCTCAGACTTTATGTTAGGGATGTAAGTTTGAGAAGCTGGATTATTCAAGGGCCTGAAGTAGTTACCATCGTGAGAGCCGTGAGTATAGGTCGTGACATAATTTCTGAGGCGACGTTAGATTGGGTTGGCAGAAGTGTCGTACCACCGGTCACCGTTCACAGGGTCCGTGAACGAGATGCGGTCACCGGTCACGGAAATCGTGACCGCCACTCGCTCACCGAGTTCACAATGAGCGGTGAGGTGGTTTTTTTATTTTTTTTTGGCTTGGGGGGTCCCTTTGTTTTTGTGCAGTTGTGTAGAGCATAAGGGGGCGTAGGTGCCTGTATTTATTTATTTTTTCTCGAAGGATTTTTTTTTTTTTTGAATTAAAAAGAAAAACGATATTCGCCTGTACTTGGCAGGCTGTGTTGTAAAAAAATATAAAAAATCCCGCGCAATGACGTTGTGGACGTGGAATCGACGAAGAAAAAAAAAACAAAAAAAAACCAAAAGGGAGCACTTTCGAAGTCGGACGTTTGCTGCCGATCCAAATGCTCCCCGTTATCGTCAATATAAACCCAGCGGCCCGGTAGTGCCACTCTCGGCATCCATTTCGATCCGCTCGCGAGCGCGCGCGCGCGCGCGCGCG